CAAACCACGCAGCTGTTATGTATTTTAGTTTTTTCGTTTGGATTATTATCATATGGGCTTTTTAGTTTTAATGTTTTAATGTTTTTTTTCTCTCGACTTATTGTTTAAAGCCCAAAATAGTGGAAAAATCTTAAAGTTTGACGAACTCAAACCCAAAAACAATTAAAAATGGATCAAAAAACAAACATCCAAAAAAAAAAAAAAAACGAGTCTCACGCGTCACTATCATGTCCTAATATATATTTTTATTGTTAGAACATATTTCAATAATATATATTTTCAAAAAATTATGTATGTGAAATAAAAGAAAAAATTAGTTTTGTTATTTATAAAATAACTATGTAATTTCTCTTCAATTTTTAATAGTTACTATAATTTCATTTTTATCTGACTCCGGCGGATGGATTTCCACAGTCGATGACGCCGTAAAGAAAAATATCACATTATTAATGAACAATTTTTTTTTTCCTCTGGACTTATTGTTTAAAGCCCAAAATAGTGTAAAAATCCTAAAGTTTGACGAACTCAAACCCAAAAACAATTAAAAATGGATCAAAAAACAAACATCAAAGAAAAAGAAGAAAACGAGTCTCACGCGGCATTATCAAGTCCTAATATATATTTTTACTGTTAGAACATATTTCCTAATATATATTTTCAAAAAATTAAGTATGTGAAATAAAATAAAAAATAGTGTTGTTATTTATAAAATAACTATGTAATTTCTCTTCAATTTTTAATATTTACTCTAATTTCATTTTTATCTGACTCCGGCGGATGAATTTCCACACTTGATGACGTCGTAAAGAAAAATACCACATTATTTATGAACAAAATCCAAACTTACAAAAAAACATATCCAAACCTATCTATTGAAACCCAAACAACAAATAATTAAAGTTATTTTCAAATTGATAAATCGTTTAGTACAAATATAAATACTATAAATAAATATTTATATCAAGTTTTGACATCTGATACAAAAAATATTTCCAACATAAAAAAAAAACAATATAGACATCTATTTTTATACACTAAAAATTATATTATAATTTACTTATTCCTATAACTTATTTCGCATATAAATAACATTTAACACATTATAGATACAATATTTTCACTTTGCACTCTTGCTACATTCTTTCCATTTCATCATTATTTAGTATTATTAGAATAACACACTAAACCAACAACCGAAAAAAACACAGATCCCGGCCCCGCGCTTGCGCGGGGGTTATGCAGCTAGTATGATGAAAAGATTAGCTAAACTTGGGCATTTTTAGTTTTACATACAACAGATGAAAGCTTTCTCTTTTGAATGTCGCCTCCAAAAAGCTTATATATAATCCCCAGCTGGCTATCTCAAAGATAGCAGCAGTTCAAGGTCCATATACTCATATAACAGTACCGTCTTGAATTGTAGCCTTTTCAACTACCACAGTGATTCCAGATCGAATATAGAATCCTTCCTCTGGCCTATCCGCTTCTTGTACATCCTGCAAACATTGAAAACAAAATGACTTTAAAGTTTCTTTCATCTTTAACACCCAGAAAACCTGATGGAGGATAAAGAAACTCTCAAGGATAGCTTACTCCTTTGTTCATGATGATCACGTTTTTACCAATCTTGGCATTCTTGTCAATAATACATTTCCTACAAAAAGGAAAAACTTTTTTCATTTCAGATAAATTCCATTGATGTTTTTTGTTATGTCTTTTGCAAAACTTACCTTATCTTTGTGTCTTTACCAATACCAATTGGAACCTTTCCTTCTCCTAATAGAGATGCAATCTCAGATTCAGTTTGGTAATAATCTGCACCTAACATCAACGTATCCTGCAAAAACACAAAAAGAACCAAAACTCTGTTTGATCAGAACAATATTCTGATTGTTTTTGTTAATCAAACTGAAAAGATATTGAAGATCCTACCTGAAGCTCAACTCCATAGTCTAGACGTGACCGTTCTCCAATGATGGAGCGTTGGACGCTGCATTCTCTCAGGAAACATCCATGTGAGATTATCGAATCTACCATCTTCAAAAAGGAACCATACAAGATAAGCAAATTAGAACCAAATAAACAACCACAACGGAAAGGGACACATACACGGCATTTCTCAGTTTTGGTTGGTGGGAGGAATCGTGGAGAAGTGTAGAAGGGAGTGTCTGGATCATAGAACTCAAACTTTGGTTTCTGCCAAAAAGGAGAACAAAAGGTTGACAAAATGATCCAAGAGATCAAGATCTGAGTGTGTATTCTCTGAGATTCTAACCTCCTCAACAAGAGCTAAGTTAGCCTCATAGAATGTCTTTATAGTTCCAATATCTTCCCAGTAATCTCTGAATATGTATCCCTGTCCATGAACGAAACTGTTTGGGTATTCATTGTCCACAAAGAAGAAGCTGAGTTCTTTTTGTTTTTACAAATCTTACTTGAACATCGTGATCTCTTATGGCAGCAGGAATAATTTCAGATCCAAAGTCATTAGAACTTGGATACCGGTGTGTCAGAATGTCCAGCAAAGCTTCGGTTTTGAAACAATAAACTCCCATCGATGCAATGTATGGAGAATCTGTTGCTTCTTCATGAGACAGTCCAAGCATTGTTGTGTCCGTTTGCTGTCATAAACATTCTTGAAATGAATAGTGATTCTACTAAAAGTCAAGATGTGTTTTGAGAATTAGACAAAACCATTACCATTGATTTCAGATCAATTCCCGTTGGTTTCTCAGAGAACTGTGTTACACGCCCACCTCGATCAACCTTCACTAGACCAAAGTTCGATGCACGGCTGAAGAATTCACAAAAGAACGGTTTTTAAAAAGATTCTAATACAAAAACGTGTAAAAGAGATTCAAGAAACTGACCTTTCGCTGACTGGTGCGCAGGAAAGAGTAACATCAGCGTTACTATCTACATGAGACTGTTACAATGTATGGAGAGTTAGCAAAAAAGAAACTATCAAAAGGGTTTTAAGATGATGAATTAGATAAAAAAAGAAAAATACCTGAACAAAGTCCATGTAGTTCATTCTATAGAGATGATCTCCAGACAAAATAAGTATGTTCTCGATGTTCCTGTTCTTGGCATCCTTTCCCAAGAAACCCATTACCCACCATTTTGGAAAAGGAACATAAAACACAGTAAAAGGTGTCCATGAGATTCAAAAGTACCTCAAACACCCACAGAAATTTTCTGACAGCATCTGCTGTTCCTTGAAACCACTTCTTCCCAGCTTCCCCTGGTGTTTGTGTAGCAGCAAGAACCTATTCCAAAATAATAAGAATTTTACTTTTTGTTTTATTCCTAAATAAAATCAATTTTGGTTTATACCTCAACGAAGCCACCTCCAAAGTTGATACCATTCCCAAAGTAAGTACGTGCTAAATGCCGATTGAGGGAAGCAGAGTTGAACTGTGTCAGCACGAAGATCTTGTTGATGCAGCTGTTAATACAGTTACTCATCGGTATATCAATCAGCCTGTAGCATCCACCTACAGGTACCTGCATAGTTTTTTAAGACATAAGCATCATAAGTCATTGTCTTTCTAGATAAGAGCCTTGATGTCCTCCTTATATCATTGAATGTTATCCAAACGAATACTTACAGCAGGTGTGGCGGCTCTCTTTGTAAGAGGGAAGAGTTGAGCTCCATTGCCTCCTCCTAGAATGATTGCAGCCACGTTTTTGGGATCTGCTTTTCTTTTCTCGAACATGGAAGGCTTTACTGTCTGACAAAACACAGTTAAGACCTCTTAGTGTTGTTTCACTGGACATGAAAGCAATTGTAATTCTGATCTACACAAATGTTCTTTCTTAAGCAAGTGAGAAAAAAAAGAAGAGTAATGTGTGTGATCAACATACCATAGCTTCATTAGGATTCTTTGAAGTAGCAACAGAGTAAACAACACCGTGCTTGAACTTTCCATTTCCAAATTTCTTGGAACTCAAATCTGAAGCAGAACGTTTAAAGAAACCATTGTCGTTGTTGATCTTCTCACCCCAAAACGTGTTGTCCACATTCTTGAGAGTAAGTTTTGGCAAGAGAGAACTGCTTTTCCCAGATGCAAAGCAGTGAGAAGAATCCATCTTTTTGAACTGCAAGAAACAGAAGAAAGAAACCTGGTAAAGTTAATGACAGAGACGAGTTCAGGGGCAGCAGAAGAAGAAGAAGAATAATAAAAGCTTCAAGTAAAGTGAATGACACACAAAGGGACGTTACTAATATATATACTATAATGCAACTAGTAATAGAATAATGCAAACCAAATTGTTACAAATCTAAGCAAAGTGTTAAAGTGAAACCGACCAGAGAGAGAGATCCTGTAAAAGTTTAAAAAGAAAAATTCTACTCTAATAGAGAAAAATCCTCGAAAGCTACGAACTTTCTAGAAACCAAGAAGATGATTCACAAACACAGATCCCCCGAAATTCTCAAAATCTCAAAGCACAAAACTCTTGGAAGTTTGAAGATACTCAATTCAAAATCGTTGTTGGGTTAGAAAGAAACAATCTGAATATATGTTATATATACTAATAAAAAACAACTAGAAGGAGCAAGTCTGAATCATAATAAGAGCTTTGTCCAAAGATCATGTGAACTAAAGCTGTATGTTTCAGCACTGAACCTAAAAAAAGAATATACAGAAAAGAGTGTGATTTTGAGTGCACATTGGTTAAAAGGTAATCCTAGGGAAAGCAAAACCGATAATAGCAATGCGAAAGCTTGAATGATAGCAACTTTTATTTTGAACAAGAAAGATCTAAGAAACACAGCTCACCAGAAGAATCAAGACTATATTTTTCTATGATTATTTGTGATTAATATGATGTACAGTACGTTTGAAATGGAAGAAAGAAGTCTCTGTAAGTGCGTTGTTGACGGAGAAAGCTGTTACTTTTGTTTTCTGGTTATTGTCTTGTGATCTCCCCCACGAGAAAGCTGTTACTTTTCTTCTTCCTTTTTTTTTGCAATTTATTTAATACCGCAGGTTTTCCAAATATATCTGAAATAAAATCAATCTTTTTTTTGTTTCTTGTAATAAAGAACTTTCTTTATTTATCCGTAATTTTCGAAATTTATATATATGCAGTAAAAAAAACCCATTTACTGGTAATTTATATGCAGTAAATCAATTGTTTGTTTCAAAATAAAAATAATGTTGGATTTATATAAAATTATAGTGAAGAAAAAAAAGAGAAATGAATATTTACGAGGAGGCATGTGATTGTAACGCCAAACGGACGGCTCTCGTTCTCCCATACTGTCACTCTAGTCCTACAAGGACACATGGAACCTGTTGTCTGATCTTAGTGGGACTCTGCCCATATTCATCTGCACACATTGTGGTCATACATAGCACACTCAATAAGTCAAAAGAATTCCTACATAAGTTTTTTCTTTATGATGTTAATGTTTTTGGCAAAGGTTCAGTGTAAAGGGTTACGAAGTGTGCAACAACTTAGCGGATTAACGAGTGTTTCAATGTGTGTAACAACTTAGAATTGTCTTTTTGTCAAAATAACATTTGTTAACAACTAACGAATTGTTTACATTATAATTTATTTGCGACAAAAGTTTTCATTTTTTTCACAATTTCTAGTATCAATAATAGATTAGATTAGATTGGATTGAAAAAGTTCACACTGAAAATTTTCAATTGTTAACTCGTTTTCATCTTACAATGTACGCATAGATTAACTAGTTTGGGTCAAATAATCATATAGCAATAGTATTATTACAAAATCACCAAGTTCTGTAGAAGGATACAACAAATATCTAAAACTTGCTTTCGTGTCAAAGAAAAAAGAAAAGCTGATTTCATGCATTGTCATGTGTGAGATGGTGACGTCTGCGTAACCATTATAGAGTAGCTCCGACTGATGTATAGGTTCTTTGTTTTATTGAATGAGTTAAGAGTGTATTGATGGTTCTTATGAAACCAAGTGTATGACACAAGTGTCATTAAATTTTGTTTGCAAAGAAACAAAACTCCATGAACATGACTATTAGTGAAATTATTTTAATTATAAAACTTCTGCTCAAGTAGTTTTTGATACTTCTGTTTCTGAAGAGCAATATTTCAGAAATCAAGATAGACTATTGAGACAGCAAAAATAGAAAATGATTCCGAATTAAATTGACATAATATCCCAAAAAAGCATTCTAAAAGATCTCGAGTACAACGGAGTGAAAAAGTATTAGAGCTCTGATGTTTAAAGTCTACATCAAAATGCAAAAACTGAGATGAGATTCGATAGCCAAACCGTAAACAAAGTTAAACTGTTTAGGTGTTGGTGGCACGAGTGTAGATCTGCTGGCTCGAGTGAGCAGCTACCATTCTGATCACACCTTTCGCCATTAGCTCCCTAATAGCCCTCCTTGCTAGAGACCCGTTGATCTGTATTGTCAAGGAGACACAGAAACGTAAAAACATAAGATTCAAACAACATCATATATGTACACATCAAATAGAGAAAGAGAGAGATAGGCATACCCTCATACGGTCGGAGAGAATGGAAGGAGTGATGAGCTTGAACTTGGGAGCTTCAGTGAGAAGCTTGTCGTAAGTAGCTTGATCAAACAACACCATGTTGTTAACCTTCTCCTTTTGCTTTCCCTTGCTCCACTTCTGTTATGTTTAACCAAACATACACAGAAAAACAAAAAAAAACAATTCAGACACAAATGATGATGAAAATAAAACAAGACAACCATTGAAAATGTTCGAATCAGACATATAACTAAAATAATCAAGTAAAGTTCGAGATAAATTAATGTCGACATTCATACAGAAGACTAAGAATTTCTAAAATCATATTTATAGATGCGCCCCAAATCTATCTGAAACACAAGTAGATTACAAAATAATTGAGGAAAGCGAACCTTCTTCTTCTGTTTTCCACCGCCAGATTTGGCCGGCTTCGATGAGGGCGGCGGAACCTTATCCTTCTTTGGCGCCTGAAACACATTTCAAATTAGATACCCAAAGCCAAACAGAAACAAAAATGAATACATAGAGCGACTGAGACAGAGAGAGAGAGAGAGAGAGTAACCATGGTGTTGAGTAACAATCGGCGAGTAGACTAGAGATCGAAGTATGAAGAAGCGAACGGAGACGACAGTGAGAAAGGAAGATTGTGAAAGGTGGTGCTCTTCTTCTTATATATTAGGGTTTCTGAATTCGGAGTGTTATAACATTGCCCAAGAAAGCCCATTTTCGTTTTAATGATATGATTCACTGTTGTTTTAGCCCAGTTGAGCCCATTTTAACGAATTATAGAAAATAGGCATTACCGAACTAAACCGAACACATATCAAAAATAGTCATAACCGAACTGGACCAGTTAAGGTAATGACTATTTTTGGTTTGAGATCCAGGGTGTTTTGGTTTGTGATGATCCATGGTTTGTTTGTGTTTAGTTTAGTTCTGTAATGATTATTTTTGGTTTATATTCAGTTCGGTTTAGTTCGGTAAAGAATATTTTATAACATTTGTTTTTTTTTTTGTCAACCATTATAACATTTGTTTAATTGACTTATTTTTTTGTTTGTGTTCAAAAGTAGTCATTAACACGATTGTTCAAAAATAGCCTAATTGAGGTAAAGATGACACACTCACCGGACTAACCCGAAAATGTATTTGAATCCAGAGTATTATCAAGCGGACCAAAATGAACAATCCAAAAATTTCAAAACACACAAAAACCATGAAAACACATACAAATTTGAATTAATATTTGAAATCCATATTCAAATCTCAATAATAAATATTTAAAATAATCAACTAAACGTATGTTTTGATATGATATCTAAAAATATGAATCCAAACCCGAATTATTTGAATCTGAAATGAGTTCTGATTTAAAAGAAACACAAAAATTTGGATTAGTATTTGAAATCAATACTCAAACCTAAATAATAAATATTAAAACAATCAACTATACTTATATTTTGATATGATATTTAAAAATATATGACCTCAAATTAAAATTATCCGAATTCAAAATGAATCCGGTAAGGGTGTAACGGATCTGGATATCCGAGAAATTTGAAGTATTCGGATCCGTGATTTTAATATCAGAATTCGGATACGTGTATTCCGGATATCCATCCGTCTAGATATTGTGATATCTGCGGGTATCCGGATTCGGATCCGTTAAAATAATTAAAAAATTAAAAAAAAATCAATTTTTAAAAAAAAATAATACATAAAAAGCATAATTTATGAATATATATATGACATATAATATTATTAATATAAAAGTAGAATATTATCAAACTTATTTTATGTATAAATATTAATATATCAGATATAATTAATAATAAAATAAAATAAAATAAAAAATCAATATATTTTTAAAATACGGATCTGAATTCGGATCCGGATTTGGTTTGCACGGATCTGAGATTTTACTATCCGGATTTGGATCTGGACACCCCCGAATATCCTAATTTCGGAGCAGATCCGGAGCGGATCTCCGATCGAATCCGGATCCCGGATAAAAGTTCCAGCCCTAACCCTAAAGTTCGGATCTAAAAGAAGTTTTAGATAGATTTACAGAATATACGAATTTGAAATATTATTGACTAAACCTGATCCGAGAATATGTAAAATTCGAATGAAGTCAAACCCCAAAAATAAAACCTAATCTGAACCTAACAAATGCTATAACACTCAAGCGTACTAGCTAGGATGACTCTCTCGACTATAACATCTTCCTAGATAGATCTCTTCAATTATTTAGAGAGTCAAGAGTGAACTTTGATATGCTCCATATCTTATGCAATCGTTCGCTGTATTCTCCGACAAACAGTCCCCCCCCCCACCCAACGTTTTGATTGACTTTGCATCATCCACTCCTGCATTATCGGAATACTTGGTTTATCCATGAGTAAGCTTGTACTGTGCCTAAATAATTATATTTTAAGCTGACCAGGGAAAGAAATGGTCAATCGACATGAAAAGCCAGAGGAAAACTAGGAATGCAGCACAAGATTTTTCCATGATAGGATAATATAACTTTTAATGTCAAGCGTGATTTAATTTATACTATAGAGTTCATCTTAATTAGTATCCCTTTTAGCCAAAATTATTTATTATCTTTTATGTGTGACAGTAAATGAATGAAACTGCATGTTTACTACTCTTTTAACTAATTCATTCATGTGTTAATTGACACTGGGATAGTAAAAATGACTTGTGAATGCATTCGTACTTATAAGTGTATCTTTATATATTTGTATTCAAAACAATATCGTCAAACAATTGACGTGATTGTATAATGAAACTTATATGGATCATGGATGCCAACAACATAATATAAAGATGAAATTTCACTAGGCCGTGATGAGCTTCACTCAAGTTTATGTTTTATTTGGTTCTTTGACATTGCATTCGTAAACCGACCTTAGCTCAGTTGGTAGAGCGGAAGACTGTAGTCGTAGCTGTAATCTTTAGGTCGCTGGTTCGATTCCGGCAGGTCGGATATTTTTGAAATATGTCAAGTTTTTGCCACATTAAATGTAAATGATATTTCAAAAAAAAAAAGCTCTCTAAACAAAATAAAGGAAACAGTATTTATTCTGCATGGTTAGTTGCTTTCTTAACCGATGTGAAAATGTGGCGCGCCATATACTGTGTTCCTCTTTTGGCGAAATTGTTTTTTCTTTTTTTTTTCTTGGCGAAACTGTTTGTTAACACTGAATCAGCATGCACTCACATGAGAGGGAGGGAAAAATGTTATAAAATGCACGTATCAGACAAAAAAAAAAAATTGAAAAATTATCTTTGATTAACGAGGATTAATTATATATCGCAGGTATATACTAAAGCCTTATCTTATGAAACTCAGATTCTGCTTCTTTAAAGATTTGCCACCAGAAAAGGGGTCACACTGGCAGTTTAATCAATTTATTAAAAATTATTGTCTTTGGCTACGCATACAATAATATTTTTATAAAGATCTTCTAATAACATATAACCAGAGTTCCATCAACTAAATTTATGTGTGAGATTCATAATTCTAAATCTTTATTTTTTGGTCAACAATTCATAGTCCTGAATCTATGTTCAGATTATAATGAAACTGAAATTCATAGATTTTAGAGGCCACGTACAAATTGTATGTAGAAGGAAATATTCTTTTGTGTGCTTTATTAAGTCCAAACATTTCTCTATACAAAAGGGATAGTTTTATTAAATTTATCAAATATCAGAAAGGATATCTTTAAATACAAATGATTTATAATATATAATGTGTTTTTAGATATTAACTAAAAGTGTTTTACAGTCCACGTATTTTTTTTCCCTCTTCTTGGTTCATTATTAGATTCAATGCAACGATGATTAAGAAAAAATATTTTTTTCTGAACGATCTTAAGTAGATTTTTCTCTGAAAACTAGTCTGTATTGAAATACTCCTCTGATAAACTAATTTGTGTTGTAAATTTCAGGTTCAAAATCTTTGTTGGAGTATAATTCAACCTACTTAGGATCTAAACTAGCTTATATATAATCTAAGGCGTAAACTAAATATGGATAAGAGTGGTTATTGTTCACAAAAATACTTCATAATTTGCACAATGTTGATTGAAGCATCGAATGACACGTTCTCATAAGGCGATGATGAAGATGTCTTGTGAGAACAAATAAGTGGGACTTTTATCTTTTCTTCAAAGTGTATCCAATAACAAATTTAAAATTGAAATTGAAATGAAACCACATATATATGCTTTTTTGGTTAGAAAGAGACAAGACATAAAGAACACATTAACAAAGAGACGTTGTAGAAGTATAGCCATCTCTCAATCTCTTAGTGAAGAAGGAATGGTTTATTTCTATATTTTAAATATGTAACAAAAAAAATCTATATTTTATAAGTAGGGAAGAGTTAATCATTTTTTTTTTTTGTGATTTTTTCATTTCAGTGTGAGATCCATATAACTGCATATCAATATAAATAGTGGTAATATATGATACATCAAATAACGAAATAGATATTATTAAAAAAAATACAACACAACGATGTTCTTGTAAGAAAGGGTTTTTATTTATCCTCCTCTTGAAATAAGTTGAAATAGTTATCATAATTTATATTTGGTTGCTTATACATGCAATATACAATGATATATACTAGACAATCGAGCTATCAATACTATTAAAACAAAAGTAAATTTTATCTATCTGAAAATAGTCTATGTTGGACTACTAATATTTATCTAACTTTCTATTATTTTACATACAATAAAATTAGTTATTATTGAATATACACAATTTAATACATTATTTCAATATTTCAAAAAAGATATGAAAAAATATTCTTAAGTATCTTTTTCTAAAACTATATTTTAACAATATCTTTTAATATCTTTGTTATTTTAAAAAAATATATTTATTGTTTTCAGCGATGAAAATTCGTAATAATGTTAATTTTATTACAAATCAATATTAGCTCATTTTGGTTTATATAATAAGAAATAACATTTCTATAATATTTTTTATATACATAGTTTATATTCATAATTAAATTATTACCGTAAATATAAAAAAAATTAATCTATTTACTAACTATTTTATAAATTATAAACTAAATGAATTATATATATAATAACATATATTCATACAGTTTACAATATACTTCAATTTATTAATGAAAAATATTAAAATAAGATAGTTAAAATAATTAAAAATATATTTTAATATAACATCTTAATTATAGTATTAAGATATAACTTAATCACTTGAATTTTCTAAAATAAAATAAGAAATTTACTGACATTAATATTATTTGATTATATGGTATATTGAATTATATATTATGATTTATAATTACATTTTCTTGCAGATTTTTTCATAAAAGTGAACCATATATCAAGTGTGATATGGGTAAAACACCAATATAATTAATTTATATATAAACAATATTTAAGTTATATTATAATAAAATAAATTTTGACAAATATTACAAATAAAAATAAATTCATAATATAAGTCCGATCATGTTAGGATATAACACAATGGTTTTAATTCTAATATGCATCACATCCAAAAACCTATATAATAATCATATATAGTTTGGATTTAAGTTATATTAGTTTGGTTTAAATATATCAAAAAATTAAATTTAGAGTTTAAATGTAAGACATAAAAAAATAAATATTTTTTTATACAGAGTTGGATATTTAAGATACTTATTTAAAATTTAAGATACTTATTTTTAAATATCATTTCAAGATATATAAGAATTGATTATTTGAAATACATATTATGTTTCATTTTTCATATATTTAAACTTGTGATTAACATAGACATACGGATTAGTTTTCAAACTTTTTGGTTTTCTGATTTTTCAGGTTATCTATTTGGGTTTGGCTAATAACATTCTGGGTTCAGATATATTTTGTATCATTTTACAAATAATTCGGATTGAGTATGGTTTGAGTTTTTTAGTTTGGATTCAATTTTGATTTCGGATTGCGAATTTTATTTTCAAACTTACTTTAAATAAAGCTAAAATATGATTATATATAATTTTCATCAAAAAATTATTTCAAGCTTTAAAAACGCGGATAAAAATCTAGTAATGTTTAAAATTGTTATCAATCATGTACAAGTTAGCGCATTCAAATTATATTACTGTTTTTAATAGAAATGTATCACATAACCTTTTTTGTTGCATAGTTCCAGTATCTAATATATAGATTTGAGTTGACAAAAATATCATAAAATGTAAAAATGATATACTTTTCGCTAAGTAAATAACACATTATATTTTTTTATCAGGAACATTAGATTTCGCGGTTGATTTGTGTTACAAAACCCTTAAAAATTAGTTTATAGAACAAAGAATGAAGAAAACAGGTTTTGTAAATTCTATTAACTGCTTAGGCATTACAATACTATATTATATACCCTGGAGTATTTTAATTTTGCACGATAGGCAATGCTTTATAGTAATCACATCCAATTCCTGTAGAGTTTTGAAAGAAAAAAAATCATTTAAATATAGTGGTACACATTAATTTAAGATATTATTTTATTTCACTAAAAGCTACTTAACGGGATAGAAATAATGGTGTGCTGCAATGAGTCGAGTAGGGGTGGGCGTTCGGGTACCCATTCGGGTTCGGTTCGGATCTATTCGGGTTTCGGATTTTCGGGTTCATAAATTTTAGCCCCATTCGGATATTTCTAAATTTCGGTTCGGGTTCGGTTCGGATCTTTGCGGGTTCGGTTCGGGTTCGGATAACCCATTTAAATTCTTTTTTTAAATTTTAAAATTGATTATATACTTTAAATTTCTAAAAAATTATAAAAAAATTAATATATTACAAATAATTGAATAACATAAGTCAAAATATCTAAAATTAACATATAAATTAGTTTGATTTGAATATTTGGATTGTGAATCAATAATTTTTTTAAGTATTTTTGAAGTTTTGAGTGTACTTTAGTAATTTTAGACATGTATGTTTGACTATTTACATATATTTACAACTATTTTGAATAACTTCAAAGTATTTTATATATATACTGAATGTTTTTTATATATATTAAATCTAAAATAATTAATATATAGGTATATAAATCTCTTTCGGATATATTCGGGTACCCGAAATACTTCGGTTCGGGTCGGGTTCGGTTTCGGTTCTTTAAATATCAAAAATTTGAACCTGTTCGGATATTGAATCAATTTCGGTTCGGGTCCGATACTACTTTTTCGGATCGGGTTCGGTTTGGTTTTTCGGATCCGGATTTTTTGTCCAGCCCTAGAGTCGAGTAACAAATTACAAATGGGTGCAGATAGTGCATGTAACTTTTTAGCAATGCATGATAGCTAACAATCTGTTATTAATTATTCTCCTTGTTTCAAAATGTTTTATATTTTAATATTTTCACACTTATTAAAAAATATTAAGTTTAAATTACCAATACATTAATTTTGTAATTAACTATTCGTTATAAATTTTAACCAACAATTTAAAAAAATATAATTATCCTTTTGAAAATTTACAATTTACCATTAATAAATGCATTGAAAATGTAAAATGTAACTTTTTGAAATCACATTTTTTTCTAGAATATGGATCTATTTGAAACAGAAAGAGTATTAATTTAATGAAATATATCCTACAGACATGCGCATAATTAACTTCCATTTGTATTTATGTATATATATATATTTATTTATTTAGTTATTATTTGTTGCTTCACATATTTAAAATAATTTAAATTTAGTGATATAGAAACTTTTGAGTCATATGATAATGATTTGATAAATCTGAGAAAATAGCATTGCAAACATTTCCTGACAAGTAGTGTTCGTTTTTTTTTTTTTTTGAGAAAGTAGTATAGTGTTCGTTTTCTCGTTCCATAACTAAACATGTTTCATATTGTTGCATTTTGCATAGCTTCAATGATTTTTTCTACCATGACTGCAAAAATGTAAATCACATAACACGTAAATTGGACTATTAGAAGTATAAAATAGTTTATATTACACTTTTTGACAAATGAGACATGGCTTTTTAGCTAACAAACCCTTTAGGAACTGCACACTTCCATGATCAAATAGTATTTTATAACAAAGTTAATATGTTACTTGTTTGGTTGACATACTATAAGACAGTGAGCCACAATTCTGAATCACCTATTCGGAGTTATATAATTATACATTTATTCTGATACATTTTCGGTTCAAAATCGTTAGCTTTCATAATTTGAAAAGTTTGTTTATGCAAAAAAACCTAATTAATGAAAGAGCTCACTATTTACGCTTCTGGCACTTGTAATTTCCATTTCCTGCTGGAATTTTTTAAATCTTTGAAAGCCTTTTAACAAAAAATTAAAGAGCTAACTATTTTTCAAACTAGATGTTCGTCAGACCATTAAAAACTAGATCATCGTCACAAGCATTATGTTTAAGTTTATTTGACAAGTTTATGAATAAGTCAAGCACAAAATATGTTACTTTTAACAGGTAATCGTAAATCTCTATAATATTATTCAGAATTCACTTTCCTATGTGTTGCGTTCACGTTGACTCTTACACCGGTTGATTACTATGATACCCTTGAGAATATATTTAAATAGTATATTTAAATAATATTATTAATTTTATGTTTAGTTTCTTTTTTAAAACATTCCAAATAACTTTTATAATAAAAAGGAATAAAAATTATTAAATTTAAAAACGAAAATATATATTTATATAATATGATTTCATTAAAAAGGAAAGTTCACAAAATAGTAATATACTATCAAAATAGTAAAATAGTATTATTAATTTTGTATTTAGTTTCCTTTTTAAAAATTCCCAACTAAATTTATAATAGAAAAAACATCTATAAAATTTAAAAGGAAAAATTAAAAACGAAAATATATGTTTATATAATATGATTTCATTAAAAAGGAAAATTAACAAAATAGTAGCATCCATTAAAAATATTTTAAATAACATAAAAATGTACTTTTTAATTAATAAAATACTTTCTTTATATCTGTATTTTCTTATATGAAAATATATTTTTTTTATATAATGTGATTTCATAGCAAAAAATTGACACATATAATTTTGATATTTGAAATTTTTTTTACTTTTAAACATAATTTTAAGTAACATAAACAAGTATATGTTTTTATTAACTAAAATAGTTTTTAATTAAAATTATTGAATATTTTATTTATTTTCATATATTTAGTTGACTATAGTATCTTTCAACTAAAGCAAAAAAATATATTTATAAATTAAATTTTAATTATATAATATGACTTCTCAAATACAACCACAATTTTTACTGCTTATTTTTAAGAGAAATTATAATATTTTTAACAATAAACATCTTTTAATCAAATAATTACAAAATATTTTAAAATATCATACCACTATATACTTTAATGACATAAATATGTTATAATCTATCATTATTTAAATTATATGTTTCTTAATTTTTAATTTTTTTTAAAATTTCATGTTTGTGTAACTTAATATAACCATAATAAAAATACCAAAGCAAATCCGAATTCTCATTTTAAAGATAATTTAAAATAATTTCAGTTTATCATTCAATAAATCTAAGATATAAAATTATTTAGAATTTATAAAATATTTTAGTTATTGTAAATATTGATATGTGTTCATGAATCTCCAAAAATATATGAGTTACTTAAGTATGTAACTTCCTACTGATTATTGCTTTGTTTTCTACTATATTTTAAAGAAACATATAACTTGATAAATATTATGAAAATACGGGCACATTTAAATGATAAATAATATTAATTTAATTTGATTTATTTTGTGAAATTTATATATATGCATGAGACTTCAAATATTATCTTTATATCGACTGATGTAATTTGAAATCAAAATTATTTTATATTTCATTATAGGCATAATATATCTTAAGTTATAAATAACTTTTCTAAAATATATTGACATCTAAGACATCAAACAACCTAAAAGTAAATAATAGAATTAAACAAAATTTAATATATTTAGAATAAAAAATATTATAGTTGAATTCAGATAAAAGAATGTAATCTAATATACCCAAATAATAACAGTAAAATCGACTATAAAATAATAAAATTGACTAGATATAATATTTCTAAAATAATATGTCTAATTAAAGTAAAATAATATTATTAATATAAATCATGTATGCAAATTATAAATTAATTGAAAATTAAAAGTAAATAGTAATCAATTATTATATTATATTTATTTAATAAATATTTATACCCGTGCATGAGCATGGGAAAATCACCTAGTACAATCTAAAAAAACAACAAGGTAATGGTTTCAAAAGAAAAATATTAGGACACAAGACTAGAGTTTTGCTAGGTATATACTTCTAAAAAGTTGAAATGCGAAACATGTATTAACTCTTTGGTGCATATAAGAACAAAATAACAATAATTCACTCGGAAAAGAAGACTAGTGCCCCGAAAAAAAAGCAAATGCACTCAGTGACCCTTTATAAATACCCACATTGCAAAGCCACATTCTCTCAAACTAACAATAAAAACAAAAGAACTAAGAGAAAATCAGACTCAGTCTCTCCTCTGATTATCTTCTCATCGACGCCGATGGATTCACTTAGTACCCAAAAGGCTAAACCAAGAAAGATGAAGAAGGCTGTTGTGAAGAAGTCTCGGGTTCAAATACTCTTAGATTTGTTTTACCGGGTGATCCAAATAACTGTAGTTATGGTTACAGTAGCCAAGCTCTGTTACCAACTAGTCATCATGTTTGAGGACTCTGGTCTCACACGTTTTCTCATCAACCGTCATCTTGCTTTCGTCTTGGGGAACGCCATCGTCATCACTATCGTCGCCAAGTGCGGTCTCTTCGTGAATCAAGAACCAGATGCACGGAGAAACAGCAACGATCTTTACGACGAGTTTGTCCGAGAGAACTCAAGACGAGAACGGAGGAGTTCTCATACAGATGTGATATGCAGAGAAAAACAGAGCACTGAAGATGATGGAGAGAAACAGAAGAAGACTGAGAACAGTGCAAGACAGAGCTCCGACGAGGAGAAAAGCAAGAAGGACGTAACTGTGAAGAGACAGAGACAAATCATTACCCAAAAACAGGAAAGTCCAAAGAAGAGTTACGAAAGGAGTCGGTCAGAGAAGCTCGAGGGCTCCTCCAAGAAGAGTTCTTGTGGAAGGTTGACGAGATCGGAGACAGCGAGGCCTTCTGATGATTCTGATGATGAACTCCGGTACAAGATCGAGTCTTTCATTGCGAGACAGAGGAGGAACCAAAAGGATGAAGAGTTTTGTATTGTTTAGATGTATAGAGTGTTATTAAAAGCAAGGGGGATAAAAGAAGAAAAACTTTAGTTTATGCAATAACATTCACATATATTTGTGTGTTTGTAAATATACGGGTGGTAATATTTCAAAAACCCGAGCATAAAATGTTGTTTAGCTTTTCTTTTTATTTTCTTTGTATAATTTTGCTCAGTAATATAAAGAGATGTAGATTTTCTGTAAGTTTGACGTTAGAATAACTAATTTTGTTGTAGACGGCATATAACATGATGATTGATGAGAAAGAAGCAATCAACAAGGAGAGCGTTATCACAAACTGATGAAAGTAAGAACACAGGTGCGTTTAGGAATAATTATATTACACTCTTATAAGAATAAAATATAAGATGCATAAATTTATATAGAGAATGATTTAACCTAATTTTCTAGACTAATATGGAACAGTATACAAGACATAAATGTTAATTTCATATTCTTCTAGATCTGTATCGGTCTTCTACATTTTTTCTTATCTTCATATTTTTCACAATCTCGATATGGTCGATGAAATGATCTCTAAATGCCCTCTCACAAGCTCATATGTGGTAACACATGTGATATTGGACAAATCTTCAAAATATCAGCAATATACCATGTTGTGAGGTGAAAAAGAAAATGACATTTGTAATCAATCGTATAGTCAAATCACCTATAACACCTTACCGTTGAGGACCATAAGTGGTAATAT